TTATATTTGTATATGGCCTCCACCTTAATAGTCAATGCCTCTACTCACAATTTTTGTTAATGGCATTATTTTGATATTTTTTTGTAAAGTTTTTACGTGATTTTTTAAAATTTGGAATCGTTTTGGGCAACTGCATTTTAGTTTTTGAGCCTCAAGCTCTGCGCTAGTGTGTTTATGATTTAATGTTTTATGATACCTGTCTTTAAGTCGGAACGATCCGTTGTCCAGACAAAACACAATATGTTATCTTTACCATTTTTGTTAATAATGACGATCCAAGGGTCAAAAAATTATTATAATGCGCTATAAACCTTTGTTAATAAAATTAAAATTCAATAGTCGCCACTTTTTTGTTCGTTATTTCGTTGTTAATTACACTCGTTCACTCGTTATTAATTTCTAAATTGATTTATCTGTTATTAAATTTGTATCAACATATGTGTTTTTTCATTTTATTTATTGATTGGTAGAAGACCCTTTTACATGCAAGCAAAATGTATTAAAATCCATATTTTTTTGCCCCTGAGCTGATCTTGTGACTAAATCAATAAATTGTATCAATAAATTTATTGATTTAGTAAAATGTATTACACAATGACATGACTTCGATTTCCTCATTCAAATGCAGCTGTAGTCTACATTCTTTTGTTTTAGTAATTGTCGCTTTAATCACTATGGTTAATTGCCTTAATTGCTTTTCAAACAATTGACTCTTTCACGAACGGTGTTGATCTCGTTTTTCAAACTCATCACGTACGTTTCTTGGTGTATATAAGTTGTGTTAAATATGTTTAATCTTTTGATATAGCCTAATGTGTTATTATTTTTTATCGAAACTAAGCTATCGATCACGAACTAGCTCAACGGTTGGTGTAGTTTTTTTAAATGTTAAGTCGTATTTTAGTTTTCTGTAATCATAATTATTGTCATAATAGGTTGACAAAGTATATGTTTTTTTTTCTTATTCGTGATGATTTTTCTGATGATTGTATTACTGAGCTCGACTGGTAACTTAATAAAGATTATTATGATATTATAGTGAACCATTGAATGATTGCATCTTTATCAAATACACTGACGGTCAAAATGCAAAAATTGTTGATCACACGAAAAAACAGCAGCCGCAGTCATCACGATGTTGTTTAGTACAGGAATACTTTACAAATGTCACCTTTCGATTAAATTCAACCAGATTAAAGTCGGTGAGAGAGGAAAACTGGGGCTATTTAAAGAAAGGTGGAATGTAAATTATTTAAAACTGCTGTAAAATGTTCTGGCTTTGCATTTGTTTACCAAATAATGCGACTGCTTTACCTGACGGACTACTCCAATGACTGTTAATTTGAATTTCATCATGGAACCATTTTTTTTGTTTGTACCCGTAAACCTCTCTCTCGGTTATAATCACTTTCATACATATTGCTCTGCAGCGCCGGTTTTCTCGTTCTTAGGTTGGCAATAGTGTTAGTTTGAGCGGCTAATGTGGCCATTACTGCAGACGACAATCTTGTTAGCACCCGCCCGCTTGTTTTATAACCAGATAAATTATCCTTTATGCGTTGACAACGCTGTAACTGCAACGCTGCAACGCACCCACTGTACCACTGTAGCGATGTAATTTGTGTAGATTGTACAATTGTGCCTTTCTCTTTGTATTTACATGTGGAATTCCAAGAAAATAAGGAGTGTAGGTACAATTCAACAAAGGGGGTACTCGTGTGTGGATGGCTAATTGAAGAATAACTAAGAAATAAAGAAGGGGAAATGTTTTCGATAGTGTAGATTGTAGAAACTTGTTTGTATTGTTATTCTAATGAAGAAGTGAATTTGTTCGGCTTTATAGTAGTAGTAGAATGCAAGTATTACTCCTACCTTTAACTATTTATACAACTTCTACTTAATGTTTTGTCCATTGTTCTGTATTGTAAATGTCACACAATAGTTATTTGTGTAACTAGTGGTTTGCACTCGCGTTACACATTATATTTTTGCTACATTTACTATAAAGCACCTAAATAATTAATCTTTCAAACACTGAGCAGTAGGCCTACGTTTTTAGATTCTTAAGGTTAAATCCAAACATTGAACCAAAAGGGAACCCCTGCACCAGCTGATCGTAGTCGTAATATCTTGAAGTTTTGTTAACTTATTTTCTAGCGTACACGTATTACGTGCCTAATAAAAGCACGCTGTTTTGTGTTGTTTGGTTGGAAAACTGGAGTGTGTCAAAAGTAAGTAAATGCAGCAATTAGCAACGTTCTGTGCTATAATCAGTGCATGTGATTACCTCAATCAGTCTTAGAACAGATTCTTTTAACGGTTTATATTCTATGTTCGCCGATCTCAATTCACTCAATATGTCGTTTTCTTGCGTGAAACGACGCAACATTTATTGAGACATCCAGCATGCCTCATCCTCCGTGCGTCACTCCGGTTGCGTCTTTTGTAACGTTTTAATCGCTTGCAATTACAACGCAACTGTTTTGTCATAATGAGGTGAACACGTCTGTGAGTATGATACGTGGAAGGTAAATAGGCAAAGCAATGATTCTTAATGTCAAGGTCGGATTAGCATTACGTACGATGCTACAATGAAGCTGTTAACCTAGAGGAAAAGTTAAAAATAACCGTAAACGCAAGCTGCATTTTGTACCGGTTCAGTGGTTTTGCAAGGTCGTGTGGCTGTTAACATTAAAAGGGGCGCAGTTCTTTATGGTTATACAGTTCAGTTTTAGAGTTCTCATATTTGTGTTTTATTGCTTTCTTACTGCTTGTGTTTCGAGAAAACTGTTTCATGGTTGGTCTTATCAACGTTATAGTGTTTAAATTGTGGCAACCCTGGATTTACTTTTAATCGCAGGAATAGTGTCAGATACTGTTGTTGATTTACCTGTTCTATGAAGACAGTTAGGTTTTTGCCAAAACATGACTATCTCAATTTACATAAAAACTATGGTTTCTTAACAGATCAGTATAAAACCTCTTGAGATAGAAGCTTTAAAAAGTAGTGGTATTCGATTTCTTTGATTTATATTTTATCACTTGAAATAAACCCCCTTAATTTTGTAAGTAATCAAGCATATTGAATAATTTAGCAATCGCTTTTTCCGTCGTTCCTTTCCATGGGTTATGACCACACAAACGGTTGGTCCTTTTGGATCTTAAAGAGTATAGGTCCTAGAATGACTGCTCATAACAGAACAAATAGTCCCATTGGAAGCTAGCTAGATTAAGGTACGTAATATTGTTCAAATGTGCCAAATCATAACTTAATTTGACAGTACAAAATACTTTAAACAACACTTGTAATAAAATATTTACACTTATACTGTTTACTCACAAGACGGTAAATACATAATATAAAAGATGGTAAGTGGTTTGATTCGCCTATATTATAGGCCTGATGATGATTGGATTGTAGGCCTACAATTGAAATCGATCACCACGTACCATCTTTTATGTGTATTTACCGTCTTGTAAGTCAACAGTGTACGTGTAGATATATTACTGTATTACAAGTGTTATTTGACGTATTTTTTGTTCTTTCAGGTAATTTAATAACGCGTACGATGCTGATCCAGAAGTTATAATTTTATTAGGTTGGCTCTAGATAGCTTTTTAGGATCGCATACCGTAGCCAAATCTTTACTTCGTAGTTTTTCATTTTATTGCTTATTAGAAAAATGCAAATTTATCCCTCCACAAAAATTTAAATAGTTGAGTAACTAAAGTGAATTTAATGCTCACCTAGTAATCTTTTGCCTGTTCAACCCTGTCAAGTAGGTGGCTTTAGATCAAAACTGAACCCAGTGGTTGTGCTTTCTATTGTCCTGATCCAAATTTTAACAGTGATGGGCATCATAAATAGTTCCCAGATTCAGAACTAATCCCGATTGCAGCGCAGTGGTCCAAGGCAGCGATCTCGTCTGTCGTCGCAGTCGTAGACACGGAGATCGTAAAGTGTGCGTTTATATTTCTGCATCTGATTCATCAGAGCTCCAGGACTAAATCTGCCTCACTAATCTTGTGCACATCCTCTATAAGCCACCGACGACCGCAGTGTTTTGTGGGTAATCTCCGTTCTAAATCCAGTCTCCCGAGTCGTTACATTCGCCATGTCGCATAATACAACCTTTGTGTTTTATTTCGTAACTGGGGAATAGTTTTGTGCTATTTTAAGGTGACAAGGATTGTCGGATGAGGAATGCACAATTGGGTTGAGAATAGTTTTGGTTGACGTAGTTATTGCAATATTTTCTCTCAACCTCGTTGTTTGAGGAAGGTTGGCGCCAACGTAGGGATTATAATTGCATGATTGTGTTTTGGGGAAGTATTGATATATTCAAAAGTTGTATCAAATATACACATTGATCATGATGATGAAATTTCCAAAATACACCTGATGATTGATTACTCTTGCCGTGTTAAAGGTAGCGTCTTGAGTTTTACCTTTTCCATTTGCATTGTACGAAACTAGTCTAATATGGTCACCTATATGCAGCGAGCTGATATACAGTTGCATCTTAAAACATTGTTAATTATATCAACCACAAAGGGAAACATATTGAACACCATAGCATTTCTTGTCTTCATAAACCATCGTATGGAAACTTGGAACTTAGGTTTTTAGTGGCTCTTTGAACAATTCAATCTCTCTTTCAGTAAAGTTTCAATGACAATATCTGGTAATTAAGATAGGGTATTTACTTAAATATTATAAATCCATAGTTTTACTATATTTTTGCCTGCGTTAGTGTGCGTTAGATCCACAATCTCAAACATTTCGTTTTTGAACCTGGAGGTACCCACAGCCCACAGATGTTGGAAAGCAGTTGACGTAGAAAAACACTACAAACCATTATGCCTACCATCCCGAATCTTCTGATGACTTCGATGTTTATACAAGTTTCTTTTAGTGTATATAGAACATGTAAACGTGTAATTTTCAGTTGGACGCAAATGTTATACCTTGAATAATAATAGTTTTTCTTTTGTTTCAGGGTGCAACAACACAATTTTATCTTCAAGTAAGTACGTTTCCAATATTTCTCTTTTGAAATGTTTGCAAAAACAGATAATGATTTTGAAACAGATGCCATTTAATGATATTATATTTTTTAGTAGAAAGGGTTTTTGGTAGAATTTAGTTTTTAATTTGGGGCTTTGAAATTGGTAACAATTTTATCAGCGTATAAAATATTGTTAAGTTATATATTGTGAAGTTATATATTGTAAATATTGTGAAGTTAGTTGTAGAGCTAATATTGTGAAGATTCTTCGATAAAGATTGCGTGCGATAATCTCTTTCGATTGTTGATAAAGTAAAAATTCAAATGTAAATCACTAGTTGCAAACTTAACTCAAGGAGTGTATAAAACCCCTTATCATGTGCTATCAAATGATAAACAAAACCAATTCAATTTGTAATGTTCTTATTTGTGTTTTGCAATTGTTTAACTGAATCTTTTTCCATCATAGTATGTTATCTAAAATTCTACACTTCTACAACATTGTCATGTATATAGTTTGTTACTCACAACTTCTGCTACAACCTCATTCGGTCGCTGAAATTCGTTCACCTGCCTCCAGCCGTAGTCAAACCCCGTTGACCCAATAACCGAAGGTGCTCACCATCACCATGTGAAGGTCGCGATCAGCCTCGGATACAATAGGTTGTAATGAGGTTGTGGACAATCTGCGCTAATTCTCCCCTTCTCTCCAAGGATGTGTTACAGTTTACTACGTCACTGGAGTGATGGATGCGAGAATAATCGTGTGTTTGGTAACAGTGGTGTAAACATGTCGTAAAACCCGTCAAGGAATGTCATCATCTATGTACCGTATATAGAGACGTCTTTGTGAATATGTTAAGCAATCGGTTGTAAAATGTGGTTTCGTTTTTCGATGGGAGTTTATTTTGTGGTGTTTTCCTTTTTCAAAATACTGTATGTATATAATTAACGCAATAGGGGAGCGAGCTGGTGTAGTGGTAGGAGTTCAAATTCTACCACGTGATAATCACTCCCTTTAGACCTAGCCTGAAGTAGGCTAATGTGAATATTTAATTCCGGGCTAGAAACATTGTAAACGAGATATGACTACAGTGTAGTGATGTAAAATTCCCAGGAATTTAATATCGAGGAAATATTCCCAGGGAATATTGCCGGGAATATTCCCAAAATTCATAAATTCCCGGGAATTTATTTTTAATTAGCAATGTAGGTTTAAAAACTGTTACTTATTAGTTAAAAGCCATAATTATAAGGTTAAATCAACCACAAAAACTGAAATATATTATAATACAAAGTTTTAATTCAAATAAAAAACTGGGAATTTATAATTTTATAAGCTAAATTGCTCAAATCGGTCACTGTGGTAGTTCCTTTGAAATAAAACACAAACAACCTAAGTTCAAAAATTTTTGATTTAATACAACTAGTGTACCTGTTGCTCAAATTCAAGATATTGCTAAGTATTACAAGCGTTATTTTTAAATGAATAACAGTCATAATTTAGGCCTATGATGACTTTAAAAGATTCAACTCAAAGATTATGGATATACTCAAGATCTACATAATAGATCGATATAAGCAACATTTCTTGTAAATATCTTATAATTTTTCAAAAGCTGATCTTGTTTTTTAGTGTTTTCTACAAATACACTAAATACACAAATACACTATGAGTTGTGTACTCATAGCCGCATTAGGTTGTCCATAATAGGCCTAACGATTATAAATTAGCCTATCTCCATTTCTTCTCCTTGGTGGTGTTCTATGACTTTCCTATGTTTCCATAGTTTGCAAATCGGCTCTTTCAATTATTACTAAAAAATGCAGCAACAGTGTTATTCAGTTTTCTTTTAGCGAACTTCCCTATATAGGGAAGTAGCTAATAACGTAGGTGGCACGGTAAGTAGTACCTGAGGCTGGGACCGATATACTTTTTCATTTTGATGTCCCTAGAGACCAAAAACACCATTCGTTCAAATTTGTATATATGTAAATGGTATATATACATAGCGTATATATGGCGGACATGTATACACAGACATAGGTATATACGTCCGTAAACGCGATAACTTGAGTAATTTTTTTCCGATTTTGATGAAATTTGGTTTGAGGATGTATGGCGGGATAAACTTGAATGCACCAGCATGATCGGACCATGGGAACAGGGTTTTACGGGGAGGTTTTATGGGGTAAAAAATGGTTTTTCTAATTTTTGACTTTTAAAACACAAAATTTCCCAGTTTATCTCTAGACCATTTTAAAGAGCTTAAAAAACAAATAATTTAGTATACCAAGAAGTGTTTTTGTTTGGTTACAGAAAAAATTCAAAAAATTTAAAATTCTCATGTTATTCTTCAATTTATTACATATTCGCTTTTCGTTTTCGTATTTTTTTTTAAAGTTTCCTAGTCACTGTCACTTTTTATGCCCATTAAATTTCCTTCGTCCTTCTCGTCATCTACATCTCGAAATCCACAAAAATCGTCTTCATTGTTACTTAACAAGTCAATCTCATCCTCATTCCCTTCTTTGATCTCAAGGATGTCTTCATTTTCTTCCTGTCCTGTTTCCTCTGGGTTGCCTTCTGCTTGCTTACTCTCTCTTGGAGGTTGTGCATTCAAGAGTTTCCAGTTGTAAGAAAGAACTGTCAGTTTTGCTGCTCGCTCAGATGAAAGTCTGTTTCTTTTCTTGGAATGCAATAATTAAAATCCATTCAGTTTCATAAATTCCAACTTGTTTTTAAAGGAAATTCATATATGGAATTACAACTCTTAGATTTAAATGTATAATTTACTAAAGGTAACATAGTTTTTAATGTTCTTTAACCGTCAATATGTGGTAAAACGTTCAGAATTTTAAAATTTTCATAAATTCCCAAATTTTGGGAATATTCCCAGTTCTGGGCCAAAGAAATATTCCCGGCAATATTCCCATTTTATAAGTTCCCTCCCACTGGGAATATTCCCATCCCACATCACTACTACAGTGACATAAATTAAATCTTACTACAACACACAATAAAGATGATCTCACCCTCTGTGAGACATCAGAACATTTTGAGTAGGCTTAGATATTGCTAAACAATCTGTTATTAGGTTAACTTTTTTATCTAAGCTTGAAATGTTTAATTTTTTGTTATTGTGCAAGTATAATGAATTTACTTAACGTAATAATTAGGAAAACAGCATGCAGGTTACAAATTACACAGTTTGCATGATTGAACCAATATTTAACTCTTTCCTGAAATCACTTACGTTGAATACAGGGTGCCAACATCATAGTGGACATTAGAACAGAGTCCTGTTATAGACGAGATAAGACACCCTTCAAATACAAATAAGACTATGAAAGGTCACTTATTTCAAACCTATTCCCGTTTTGGGATGTTCCCCAGACTTTAAATACAATATTTTCCAATATGCTTTGGGGGATATAAATGCATCTCCATGGCTAAGAATGTGCTATATTGAATTTGCTTTGTTTGTCTTTTGTCAAACTCTTGTTTGTCATAAACATTTCGGGGGGGATAGCAGTATAACCATTTCAACTTCACACCCAGTCGCAAAGCATAGGCGAATCTTAGTTCATAGTAATCTTACAAAGTCAAGAATACTTATGAATTTTCCAACTGAAAATGTTCTCTCAAGGTGGGTCACTGGTCAGGTATGGCTTCACGAGTTTACAGATTCAATCATACTCTGAATAGCAATCACTTGCCTTATTTGATCAGTGATAAACCAATCGTATCCGTGTTGCTATTTACATATATTGGTCATAACCTTTCTTGTAGATTGTTCTTAACTCGTTCAGACTTTCAACTTTGCCCTTGACTATGATAAATGTGTATTTGGTCGTTGCTGAGAAATGAACACGTTGTATTGGTAATCAATTGAAGTTGTAGCAATATTTTGTTTGATAATGTCATAATTAATTAATGCACAGTCGTAGATAAGTACCACTACTTGAGGGCCAGTACTTGCAACGTAATAATCAGCCGTTTTATTTATACGTTTATTTTCCAGTTTAAACATCAAGTGTGTCCTAACCTAAATGATTGCTTGCGTCTGCTAGCTCTTCGGTCCAGCCGGGCATTTGTTTGTTTTTATTGCACAGCTAAACAGTTTGTATGCTTTTGAAATACAAAAATTGGCACAGCTCAACATGCATTTGTGGATAGCTAATGGAAAATCATCGTGAATTACTCGTCCAAAAACATTACACTAGTATACAATATACATCATGGCAAAGAACTGTGTACTTGTTCACAACAACTCATCAATTCCTTTTTGTAATCAACGCAAATGATCATGTCGTGCCATCATGATATGAGCTGTACTACATGAAGATTGAAAGTACGAGAGAGAGAGTTAAGTGATGCAATGTTTAACATAACTCGGTCGTAAGTTATGTTATGGGTTGGTTTGATGACTCCATAGCTCGACCCTTCGTCACGGAGTTACGCTACACATACGCTCTACGCTCTACGTTTAATTTAATATTACTTACGCCTTTCCCCAGAGATCATCACGCTGTGGCTTATGTAAACACTGATACATCACTTCCCACGCTGGTTCATATAGCTCTACTGTTGAATTCTTAAATCAAATCAAATCAAATCAAAAATTCTTTATTCATATTGTATGTACATACATGAATAGTGTCAGACTATAACTAATTTGTATGCATTTTGATTTCGATTTACAGAAAAGTAAGAACCGCATACAGTTTCATTTTTTTATTGTTTTCCATCAGAGCACCTCAACCTTATTTATTTAGTCGTTTTTACATTGAAAAAACTCTTCAAATGAATAATAACTCGTTTGCAACAGATGATTCTTAACTAGTTTTTTGAAATTATTTTGGTTTATTTTACTTTTTAATTTTGTAGGATGATGGTTTAAAAATTTTGATCCCATAAAGGTTCCCTTTTTTTCAAAGAAGCTGAGGTTATGTTTTGATAAATTTATATCATTCTTATTTCTAGTGTCATATGAATGGACATTTTTTCTAATTTC